AAGCACATTATATTTATTTGAAGTACTGTGTGGGGTTTTCATAGGGTTGCCAACCGTCCTCTATTCCAGAGGACAATCATCTTTTTGATCTCACTGTCCTCTTTTCTCTCACGTTTTGAAAAAGTACTCTCGTTTGTACAGAAAATAAAATGAAGAAATATTTGTGTATAAGAAATATTTGTGGAACCGACAAACATGTTTAACTACTTTATAATTTATTATTTTTTTTTCTCTTAGTTTAGCTTATGTTTTTTAAAAAATAAATATTTGACAAGCAAAGTACTTTATAATTTATTATTATTTTTTTTCTGTTAGTTTAGCTTTTGTTTTAAAAAAAAATTATTTATTAATTTTATTATTTTAAATCATGATTTAAATCATTTGATTTTTAAATCATGCCAACCCTGATTCCGGGTGAGTCTCAAAAGTGGCTCACCCCTATAACTTTTTTATTTTTTTAGTTAAAAAAACGAGATTTGGATGTTAGTATATGACATAAATTAGGATTGATTGACGTATTCATTTCTTGTCGGTCACTTACCGGAAATGACTACAACTTTTGATTATTAAATGACACCCCCGGTATTTTTTTACTTTATTCGATAGAAAATGTCACTATGAATAGAATGACATATCATATGTCAACTTTTGACATTTTCGCATATGGTTTATTTGAAATTATAACTTGCCGTTCGTAACGAAAATTTGACTCGAAATACCAAGTGTGTGGTATCAAATTATTCGTAAAAAAATGCTTTTTCCAAATATGCTAATGAGCCACCCTCGTTCCATTTGAAAAAATTGAGATATGGTTAAAAATACGATTTGAGCATTTTCTAGCTTGCCAGGACAAGACACTAAAAACATTAGACGATCAAATCTATTTTTCCAAGACTCTGACTGAAGAATTAGTGTTTTTAACATAGTCATGGCACTCTAGATTGAATTTTAAAATACAATTTTTGATTAAGCGAGAATGTCAAAAGTTGACATATGATATGTCATTCTATTCAGAATGTCATTTTCTATCGAATAAAGTAAAAAAATACCGAGGGTGAAACAGAAACTGGCCAAAAACAGTTGAATACACCAATCAATCCTAATTTATGTCATATACTAACATACCAAATCTCGTTTTTTTTATCTGAAAAAATAGAAAAGTTATAGGGGTGAGCCACTTTTGAGACGCACCCGGTATATTAAGATCGACAAAAAAAGTTTTTTTAATTTCACTCAAAATGAGTTATTTGGGTCATAAATACAAAATATTTTCATGGTGTCTTCTTCATGTCATTCATGGTTTCTGTAACACGATATCTCAAAAACTGCTAAACCGATTTTAACCAAATTTGGCACAAAAATACTGTGGCGCCCGAGAATCTGGCCATTAGTTTTTGGTGGGGGTGGGGGGTTGTTAAGGGGATATGGGAGGGGGTTAAAAATTTAAAAAAATCGTAACTCCAAAATTACAGTAGCCAGCGAAACGCGGTTTTCAATTTAAGATTAAGAATAATATTTGCAACAAAATTTGTAATAGTAAATAAAAGTAAGGAAATCAGTCAAGTAAATAAATCAGTCAAAGTCGCAGTTTTTGAAATAAAAAAAATTGGAAAAATTCCTTTACTTTGAAACTAAAAGAACTGCCTACCAACTTCTTATTAACATATTTTAGTATGGGCAGCTATACGTGCCTCCCGGCGCCAATTTTTTATTTTGAAAGTTGGCAACCCTAGGTTATCATCCTATTTCTTATTCACTGAAACTTTGGCTAAAAACGCTATATCAGAAAAGTGACCACACGTATATATTCGTATTATTTTGTTTCTAGCCCCAAAAGACGCTTTAAATGCTTTACTCGTTTTCTGTGTGTCCATGAACTTATCCTTGGTGACTGATAGAGTATTAATAAAATTAAATTCATTCCAGTTTTTAATAATTTCTCGGATATAGTGTTATAACCAAAGTTTCAGTAAATAGGATATAGAATGAAAACACCGCATAGTCCTTCAAATAATGCATGTAGTGTACTATTAGCAATATCATAGTATGCAATAGTATACTATAAACAGAATTTTATGCTGAATTTAATTCTGCACAGCAAAATAGGGATTGCAATTTTAAAAAATTTAATACTTTATCATTATATTTGGGAACATCATGTATGCAACAAAATATTTTAGGATAATATGCAACTTTATAAATATGCAACATTTATATAAAACTTTTTTTCATATCTCCGATAACAACGACGATATTGGACTTCGTCGCACTAATAGACCACCCTGTATCTCCACCAAAACCAATAATTTATACATTGTATTGTTCTTTCTAAAACATTTAAAACAGTTGGTATTCTCTAAAAATGCACTTCAATATATCGATACAAAAGCCGCCATCTCTAATTACGACATTATATTTTTCCCTTTACATAAAATAAAAATAAAATACGCGTGCCAATTACAGTCGCGTATTTACGTTTGTGAGGTCATAAACTCGCGCTCACGCTCCGTTTAATTACGGAAGATTAATCGAATCAGCTGATTCAGAAATGTTTACAGGCAATGTTAATAGCGGCGTTTGTCCTCGGTCGATTCGATAAAGGAAACGAAGCAACATTGTTCGATAATTAACACTAAAATCAATCAAAGTCCGATCATCGGCTTACGCGGTTACATGACTTTCGCAGATTTGGTATTTGTTAATATTATATTTTTGATCTTTTCTATTGCTACATATGCATCTGAGGTCTGGACCAAAGCCTGAAAACTGCCAACAGAAGAAAAATAGATGCTTTCAAAATGTGGACCTAGAGAAGAATGCTGATATAGAATAAGAGAAGAAATAATATATAGAATATAGAATAATAAGAATATTTAATATACCGGGTGGTGCATCGTCGCATGCAAGCCGATTTTAAGTAATTTAATAAAAACCGCATCTATTTTTAAATTAAAACTGAACAGGTAACAATATAAATCCAGGAATTTGCCAAGATACATAAAGTTGTCATCCTATAATTTCCTCAATGTCAAACTGTATTTTCTAAACTTTAGACTTTTGTCCCATTCAAATAAGTTAAATTAAAAAAACACATTTTGGGGACACTCGTATAGGTCCTATAACGTAGTAATGTAACATAGTAACCCATTACTATGCATAACGACACGTAACCCATGCGACGACATACCCCCAGGGTGTATTCCGTTGCTTATGTCCCGTTTCTATCGGTTTACTGAAATCTTTCTTATTATGGAACACGGTTCCTGAAAAATTCGGTTATAACTGTCACCAAACTAACCACCGCGAGTAGGCTGGTTTTTCTGGTTTTGTTTGTCAATCAATGTCATTTATGTGACAGAAATCAAGCAAATATTGGAAGTTCGAGTGAAATTCTCATTTAATTTCTAAAATTTGTAATAATATTTTGTATTTACATCCAAAAACAATGGAGGTAAGCAGTAAAAGTGTAAATAAATTTCATTAACTAAATAGAATGAGTTTTAGGACCATTTAAACTTATCATGCAGCCATTGTTTCTTAAAGTCAGGAACATTTGAAGAAAACATGAAAAACGAGACAACAAGTAATCGTGAATGTTTTGGAAGCTATAAAAATATAAATATTGATTAGATTTGTTTATTTATTATTGATCTGTTTTAATATTGGACCTGCAAATCTTCACTTGAGCTGTCTAACGAGTTTAACAGTTTATTAATAAAGTTATTTTCAATATTAAACTCCATTGAAAGAAGAAGCAAACGTAAAAGCATAGAATAGTACATTAAAAATACATAAAAGATAAATTTTATAATAGAGGTATTGAAATTTAGAAAACGGCAACATTTGACGTTTCCAGTATTTTACCAAACCGTTCCGTATCAAACCGATGTTTTTCAGGAACCGCTCCTTACCGTAGTTTACCGGTCTGGTTCGCCTGGTTTTGCAACGGAATACAGCCGTATTTGTCAATGATAAAATTATAGGTTGACAACTTAAGCTGACATTTGATTGGATTTAAATTGTTTCCTGTTTAGTTTTAAACTAAAAATAGATGCATATTTTCTTAAATTACTTAAAATCAGCTTGACCAAAATTGTTGAAATTTGGCATGTGTATTCAGCATCACCTTTAAAAAAATCTATTTACGACTTAGTTGTAAAATTAATAGGGGAGCCAATATTTGGACCGTTCCAAAATTTGCATGTAATTTCCTATGTTTCCAACGACGATATATAAAATATCGGACCAACATCTCCATTCTAAGGCAGTTAAAAGTCACCGCAAGACTTTCAACCGAAATAAACCAGTCATACCTTGGTACTTTGGGCACATTTCAAGAGGAACAGATGGACTGGCAAAACTCATAATCGAAGGAAAGATTAATGACAACCAAGAGGAAGGTCTTCGACGAGCCGGGTGGACCGCATTCAAGAAATTATTGATCACGGTCTACAAGAAGCTTCTCTAGCCGCTCAAGATAGAGAAGGATAAATGCAGATAGAGAAGCATGAGTCTCACCATACTCCTTCTAGATTTAACTGTCAAAAAGAATATTTATAGATTTCAATTATAAAATTTCTATATATTCAATTCAAAGTATTTTATCTGCTATCAATTTTAAATAGTTTAATTCCAAAGTTCTTAAATTAAATTTATTATAATGAAATCCATTTAAAATTGCTGTAATATATTTGTGATATATAAGAACTGGGTTAATAATTATATTATTAATAATATAATTTACCAAAACTACCTTGCAAGAATTAAAATTATATTATTTTAAATTTCACTAATGCAAAATATTTAAGTTAATACTTCCAGCAAAAACAAAAAAGTCTTAAGAAAATACGACTTTGTTTTAAGAAACAATTATCATCACTGACCGTTTATATTTGAAGCACAATTAGTGTCAATCAGTTTACTTATCGCCACGTAAAGTATTTTCTGCAAACACACAGAGCAGAAAACAGAAAAAAAAACTAAGTAGTAAAAAAGGATACATTTCTTGGAAGAAGTCTAGGTGTGGAGGTTGAAGAATATCTAACGCTGAAAGAACCTACAAATACAAGTAGAAATACTCTAACTGAAATATAATACAGTATGCTCGAAAAAAAACGGCGTCAGCGATCGCTATGAAATGAAGATCGCTGGCATTTTATATGTCAAATTATATGGAGAAAGTCATCGATGTTCATTTCAAAGCCAACTGGACGCGTTTTTTTTTTCGATCATACGGTAGCTTGTTTATGTTTCAGGTCTTAATCCTAACATCAAATTTAATCTCGATATCAAGAGTAATTAATGTTCAACAAGAATTAATGAAAATGTTTAAATTTTCATTTAGTTCTCTTACCATTAATGCAATTCCTAATAGAGCTTAGAAGTGTATATATGTATATATTAAATATTTAATAGTACTACTCATTTAAATTAAAAATTATTTTGTATAATAATAATCGACATAAGCGAACTTCTAGTAAATAAAAAAGCTAAATATGCTTTTCAAAAGTGAACTCATTATCATCATCATTCTCAGCTTAGTCAACCATTTCCAATTATGGTGTAGCCTCCCTTACCAGCTGAACTCATTATATTCTCTAATAAAAATTTATCTTGCAATCCCAAACTAATTTTAAGAACAAGTAAAAAACATTTCTAAGAATTTTCCATAAAGGTCTTGTTAGAGATTAGATTATCATAGCCCACGTTATTCCTAGGTGTAATATCAGTACAAACATGTGAAGCATGAACAAGCATAATTTCGTAGCTACTTTTCCTATTCATATAAGACGAGAATGTTAAAAATCTTGTTTAGATGGTACTTGTACTTACATTTTCGTGTTTGAAAAAACACAACATTTTTAATTCCCTAAATACTCTTTTCGATGACACTAAGGACTGGAACACATTTGGTAACTTTTTCAAGGCCACTCGTCTACCGTCTCGAGGGTCTGTCACAGCCCTGCAACAAAGAAAATAAAAACGTCAATACCTATTTCAAACTGACTGTTATCAGAAAGAAAAAAGGTCAAATGGATTTAGTTACAAAAAAGTCAATATGTGAAATTGAAACTGGTGACTACTGAAATAGTATTTTTTAATATAAAGTTTTGACGCTACATAGAAAAAAGTTACAAAATTTAAAACACTCACTACCACACATGGAAAATAGAAAAAAAACGTTCTTCTTTTTTCTTTTATATTGGCAAGGACATTTTATCTACATATATTTTTTATATTGGCACATCTTATTAATCATCTTCAGTTTCAAAAGTGTTAACAATGCATACAAAAAAAAATTGAACAATCTGTAAACTTTGGGTTTGGGTCGAGATCATTAACAGTCTTTTTGACGTTATTGGAATCTTTTAAGTTAAACTGAAAATTGCACCAAATCCACCATAACACACCAAAAAAACTCTAGATGGACATTTTTCTAATCATATTATCAATAACCAACAAATATTTCAAACATAGTTTCAGTTGTTTTAGCGTTTAGTCCCTCCCCCGATTAACTATTAAAAAAACTCGCCTACAGAGTGAAATAAAATGTAACTTTAGTGTATTGTATTTCATTTGCATAATTTTAAGAAGGAATTAGAATAATTTTAACTTCAGTAGCTAAGAGAGTAATTTTTAGAATAGCAGATATTTTTTGGCAAGTATATTTTTCTGTTTCATTAAGCTTCATTCAGAACCTCGCAATTAGTGGAATAAATTAGTGGTTTCAATTAGCGTAGAAGTTTGTTCCTTTAATTTCAATGTAAGCATTCAGAATGTCAAAATTAGTGGTAATATTTTTCAATTAGTAGAAAAAGTTATCAAACTTTTAACTTTTCCACTAATTATATCAAAATTTGCGAGAAATGTCATTTTAGCCTGTGATCATCTTCCGTCAAGAGAAATTGTGGTTAGAAATGAAAAGTTGATTGTTTTATAAGCTAAATATTAGGCTTTCTCTATGGATACAACCGACTAACGCAAGTTGTTGCTAGGATATTCTATTAATTTTAATTGTGTTTTTTAGACATTGTGAATGATCGTAAACTAAAAAGTATAAAGTGTAATTGAAACCACTAATTTATTCCACTAAGGGTGGCTGCAACGATCTCCCGTAATCCTGCTCTTAAAACAAAACAATTGGTTTTTATATATAAAAACCAGCTGTTTTGTTTTAACAGCAGGATTACGGGAGCTCATTGCTGCCACCCTAAGTGCGAGGTTCTGAGTGAATCTTTAGGCTACAGGCTAAAGTAGAGAGGGAAGGCTGAACACATTTACAATCAAATGTTGATACCTCTGTTTGAATCAATTTGAGGTCCAAAACTCCTGGTTTATTCTGAAGCCCAGTCTATCTATTCTGAAGCCCAGTCTATCTATTCTGAACAATAAGACAACACCGTGCTGGCCACAATTCAATTGAACGAGCTCAATTCGAACAAACTCATTTTTAACGATTCGTTCAATCTTTGCCTACCTCTACCTGGAATTAATGTTTCACTATTCAATGCCCTTTAATATATAGCGATATAAAATTTATAGAATATCATTTAATGAACTATGAAACTGTATGCTGTATGAAACAGAATTAAGGCCGGGAGACACATATCATGCACGTTTCCGATCCGGCTCCGGTCCGATTTTGCCCCAGAAGCGGATCGCTGTGAGATCGGAAATGGTGAGTACACACATGTCATACATGCTTCCGACTCCTTCACGATTTCGGGCTTCGGCTGGAAACAATCGCCAGTCTTGATTCAACAAGCATCGCATATTGTGTGCGCGAAATGTTTAATAATTTTAGCAACAGTGATTTAGCCATGGTGACACTTTGTTTGGAAGAAGAAGATGAGGAAAATGAGAAAGCTTTTATAGAGAACAGCAAAAAACGCAGATTTCATGTCTTTGTAGTCGGAGTTTCGGTACTGCTCTTTGGTCTGGTCATACAGCACTGGATATTTCCTCACTTCTTCAATTAGTTCCTCCGGTTTTATTGTTGACATTTTTTATTATTTTAGTAAAAAACAAAAATAACACAGCAAAAACAAAAATAAACAAAATAGTTCAAAACGACACTCGTCCCACAGCCGGCATCGACGAATAGAGTGAGAATCGGAACACGAACGGATGCAGGAACGGAGTCGAGTAGGAGCGGGGATGAATCACGTATCGGAAAGGTGTAAACTACGCTGGTTAAAATAACGTACGATTTCACTCTCATACAGTCGTCCGACTGTATGATCGGAGCCGGATCGGAAACGTGCATGATAGGTGTGTCCCGGCCTTTATAGGAGGTTCAGGCAATTTTTAATACGTAGGTAATAACTGACATATACGGACTGTACTCTGTATATCAACAAAAGTTATTGATATAAAGCAGCGATTCCCAGGGTGGATTCAGAGTAGTCCAGGTGGACCCTAGGGCCCCACAGCATGACGCAAATTTCCATCTCTAGATCTAATGTTATATAATTTTTTGACGAGTTTTGGGAATATGGAAAAAATGTAGCGGCATGAGATCCACCAAAACCAGTAAAATTTAGCAAGTGGTCTACAAGAAAAAAAGATTTGAAACCTGTGGTATAAAGTTAAATTTAAACGGGATATGCTTTATATAAGAAGTACATTATATAAGGACATTTTTCACATACACATATAATGAATTGCATACCTAACTTGAAATCAATAAATTTCATTAGTATAATAATAATTGTGTATATTATTATTAAATATCAATAAAACTATTACAGATATAAAGAAAAGGCTCTTGTGAGATGCTTTATAAATCCAAAGAAAATTAATTATTAATTTTTATATCAATAACTATGACATTCTACAGCCTATGTCATTTTTAGTATTTATTATTATGTGATATATCGTGTATTAAAACTTTATGAAAAATGCTATTATTAATTTGTTTTGTTTTCAGTGTTCTAGTTCAAAAAATGAAAAAGATAAAGGCTGATAAAAGTGAAAGAATATAAAACGTTAATTCTCTTGAAAATTCAAGTCTTCCAGGCATATCAAAGGAACAAGAGTACAGATATAAAATTTTATAATTTAATGGGAATTATTTTCAACTCTCGTAATCTTCGTCTGTGACATAAAGACACATGTGGCTGTAGGACTTTCGTGCGTACGTTCATGCGTACACATATATAAACATATACATAAGTACGTATGTGCGTGGAGAGCTTATTTATAACAACGGAAACTGAACGGGTCGTGCTCAGACTGGGAGATGGTCTGACCCGTAAAATCCAACAATGGTATCCGTGTGCACTTGCCCCAGCACCGAGCGGCCACAAAGGCCTCTTGTATTTTAATTAAAGCCCGCTCTCGACTATTATTTATTTATTTAAAAGGACGGGCCGCCGGAGACCGTCTCTTATTTACCGTTGCGTTCGTGGCGAATCGCGGAATTAAAGGTTACGTAACGTTTGCGCAGAATTATTGCTATTACGATATTTAACAGAATTACTTGGCGAAACGGGCTTAAATTGAAAAATATTTTTACTTTAGTTCTTTCTCTGGTATGACATTACTGTTGTTTGTTCGGATAAGTGAAATGGATATGTACAATCAAAATTCTGTATATAGAAAAATATTATGTTCCCTTCTAAAATTTATATTCAGATTTGGTTTTCAATATATTTTTTTCGATTTCACATTTCACAATATTTTGATTATACAAAATTACAATACTATCCGCTGTTTTCAAAAACGGTTTACGCTAAGTTGAAGTTGAAATTTGGTGTCAGATCAAATCGCGTTAATAGGTAGAATTATTTGGGTATATCAAATTCAAATTGCTATTCTTCTTGTATACATTCATAACAAATGCACTAGATGATATATGCCATGAGTTGTCACAAAGGTTGTTACTTATATTTTGCGTATTATAGAGGTAGAAAAAAACAGTGGATAACTATTAACTATTAACACTCTTGTTTTGTGAAGTATTCTTCACGAAGAGTTCCAGCTCGATTATTGGTATCTTCAAAATTGCTTTTCTGAACTTGCATTGTCTTGGTACATAGGATAATTCGTCGTTGCAAATTTTCTCTAATGGGAAAAAATGTATTTGCTTTCCTTACCTATAGAGTATTTTTTTCTCTTTCTAATAGTATAAAAAACTTATTAACGTAAAAAATGGAGTTAGGGTTATCACGTTTCACTGACGATTTGATATATGTTGACATGTGCCTAGTATTTTTCTATATGTAAAATATAAAAGACAACTGTCGCATTATAATTTTGGTTAAGTTAACATATTTTTAAGAAAACACAAGACAGACATAACTAGGTCCAGTGGACAAAGATCCTAGAACCATTAAACAGGTCGCAAAATGCTAGCGCTTTTTACTAATTGGGTTCACAAAAAAACATGCAAAATTAAGCATGCCAAATAACCAAAAAATCTAATATACGATGTGCAAATTCTAATGGTGGCAAATAAAAACAAACAAATATTATACAAGTAGAACTTTTTAGTTTTAAGATCAAAAGTGGTTTGTATGATAACAGATAAACAATCCTTATAGTGAATTAAATTAAAAGGATTATAAAACTTTTTGATCATGCAATAGTTTTATTTTTTATTTTTGAACCAATATACATCTTTTAAGCTGGGCACACACGTTGGGGTATATTTGTGCAAACTAGACTTGTGCAGGTATAATGTAACGTGTGCGGGGATATTTTTGTGCAAGTCTCAAGTTTCAATTTTTGATTCCGGGACCCAAGTCGTACTAAGCCGCTAAATGAAGCTTTTAACAGCTAAACTGAAAAATACGAGTTTGCGCAAGTCTACACTCGCACAAATAAACTGGAACGTTGTGTAGCTGGCTTAAAAGATGATTTAAAATTTAAAAACCCTTAAAACTGACTACTACTAATTTTTTTTATAAAATAAGTACACTGGTTCACACAAAAATCAATACAAATTAGTAAACCAAACTC